GGAATTGACAACATTCTTCGCCGATGCATCAAGCAGCCAAACACAACTCAAATCATCAAGGAAGCTTATGATGGACCTTCTGGCGGACACTTCGCCGCTGACACCACCACTCGGAAGATTCTTCAAGCCAGCCTCTGGTGGCCAACACTCTGGCACGACACTGAAGAATTTTGCAAACGCTGCGACACATGTCAACGACACCGATTACTGCAGAAAACTCAGACTCAACAACTCAACCCAACATTTCCAATGGCACCATTTCAGAAGTGGGGACTCGACTTTGTCGGACCCCAAGTCAGCACCCGTCGACAAAATCAGTACATCATCGTTGCCACCGATTACACTACCAAGTGGGCCGAAGCAATACCTCTCCGACATGCCACAGCGAAAGCAACAGCAACCTTTATCTATGAAAATATCATCACTCGTTTCGGCACACCACTCGAACTCGTCACTGACAGAGGCACCCATTTCATCAACGAAACAATCGAATATCTCGCCACCAAGTTCAAAATCCGACACAAAACGTCGATACCATACTATCCTCAAGGCAATGGTCAAGCAGAAGCAACAAACAAAACACTGAAGACCATCCTCAAAAAAGTCATCAATGATTCCGGCAAAGACTGGGATGACAAACTTCTCGAGTTTATCCTCGTATTCCTTCCTGATCTCATCGTAATCACGGCATACCTAACTCTGTGGCTGAGGCATGGCTGCTGCTCCTGCTCCTACTCCGTGATCCTGGTGTATCTTGCTAGGGTTCGCTGTGTTCTTGCTAGGAGTTGAAGTTGCTGGAGGCTTAATCTGCTTCGTTGGATGTGGGTGACGTGGTTGGGCTGGATTCTTTGAGGTGGGTGGAGAGGAGCTTTTCGGTTTGATGCTGGATGAACTGCCTAGATGTGGCACTAAAATTAATGTATCCGTTGGCAAATTTTTCTCTTGGAATTTTGTTGAAGGGGCAGAAGTTTGCTGGTCGTGGCATTTGCTGGAGTAGGCATGGTTCCATGTTCTGCAAGTGATTGGCGAAGGTAGTCGATGTTTTCTTTTGTGGAACGTGTCAAGGAGGTTGGGGCGGTGAGAATGTTGTTCTCAGCTGGTGGAGAAACTGAGTTCTGGGCGAGCAGCTGATGTTTTGCTTTGGCGATGTTGATGTGTTTGTGAGAAGTTGTCGGTTTTGGGGCTGATTCGAGTGGATTTGGGCTCTGGGGTGAGTGTGAAAACTGGTGTGAGTTGTCTTTATTGTCGCTGATGACGAGGTGCTCTCGGATCAGCGGTTTTGGAGCTGGATTTGTTGGTGTTTTGTGTGTGAGGCGGCGGCGACGCTGTATTTGGGAATGTTATGCCGAGATGCTTGTCGGTCGTGCTGAGCTTTTCTCTGTTTTTGGATGGTGTGAAGTGTCCAGAGGGCATTGAGTCGGAGTTCGTCGAGATGTTCGAGTTGCTGAAGCCTTTCTCGAACTGCATGTTGGGTGTCGAGATTATACTTGACGGTGACTCGCATGCTTGGGACGATGAATTCAATTGGCGTGATGGCTTCTGTTCCGAAGGCAAGTTTGAATGGCGTCATGTCGGTGGTGACTTTATATGCAGTTCGATAGGCCCAAAGTGCTACTGCACCCGCAAGTTGTTCAAAGCCCTCGATCAACGCATGTACCGTGAGCAAGCAAACCACTTGCCAACACCAGCTGACATTGCACAGCATCTTCTCAAGCAAGATTCCTTCATATACACCTGGGGAGCAGTCAAGAAGGAGTTTTACAAGCCTTTAAACCACCGACTAGAAACTCAGCTCGAGGAGATGAAGCAAATCCGCACTGACCTCCGGGACATCAGGAAGATCGTCTCCAAACAGCCATCAACCCCATCAGCAGCTCATGAATTCACCTACAAATTCAAATATGAAGAGTTCAACACCCGCGACCAGAAGCTCGAGGATGATCATACCGCCCTTCTGGCTGAGGTAGCCAACCTCCAGGAAGATGGGACAGATCCACCAGACAGTGTCCCCAACCACAAGCTTACACTCCCACAGCAAAAACGTTGCCTCTATCGACTGGAGCAGCAGCAACAACAAGCGATGGAGACTGACTATGTTCACACCGAGGACGGTGTCTAGTTCTGTCAGGGGAGCAGAGTGTCTCAACCAAAAACAAGGTTCAAGGGACTCCGACCTTGAACCCAGGGTTGCATCGGAGCCATAGATTAAATCATGCACAGCATATAGTATATACTAGCAGTTAGAACCGCTAGCCTTTCAAAAGGGGGAATCCGAATTGTGGATCCCTATCTCCATTCCATCGTTTTTCTTATCAATACACAGCATTCTTTTACTCGTGCTTCTTCTCTACCCTTGGAGATTGGGCCCTTTTCTCTTTTGTTTTCATACTAACAATAGATTTCCAGCGAAGAGGAGTTTTCACACCTCTTCAAGAATGTAAACCTTTTATATGCCATGTCACATATCCAAGGATAGTAGAGCAGAACCCAAGTTTCAAGGCCTTGTGCAATTGAACAAAGAACGGAGCCAAACTTCTAAATATGGAGCTAAGGAGCAAAAGAACTAGAGGACGGAGTGACTCTTGTCTTGAGCATACAGCTCAAGGAGCGAAGGGACAGAAGCATGGAGTGACATAAAACATAATGCCAGAACTAACACGTGAAACGAAGCCAAACGGAGTTTGGTGTTATTTCAATATACTGGTGACCTAATGCAAGGATATGAGTACTCCACCAACTAGCATAGTATGAAACTTGGGCTTAGACTTAAGCCAGACACAAAACAAGGACATGCATGCAAACGAAAGTTAGATTATTCATCAAGTTAGTTGGCCATACCTAACCTACCCACTATCCCTACTATACATTTGGAACCTAGAATTTATATACCTATAATGTGTAAGAGATGGCTCTCACAACATATAGAACAACCTCAACTGTTACATTCTTAGAGCTTCTATGCTCCAACAAGTAGGAATTGAGAAGGTCATTAGTACTTATGACAACCACATATAGAGCAGTCTTTAGATGATGATAATAAGGAACTAGCTTTTGCGTCCCTACAGAGGAAACTACACTAACCTTTGCAAAGTCTGAGAAGAATCATTACCTTTACCATGTCCGCTGTCGTAAGCATCCTGCTTGAACCTTAGAAACTGGTCAATCTGAACCGAAAGGTACAGTGGGACTTCGAGGCTGGTGTTCAAAGCAGTCACTCCAGAGACCGCAAAATTCACCCCATTGGCATAATTCGAGTTAATACTTTGCAAAATGGGATCAATTGTTGGGCGAGCAGAATGTCGACTTGATGTCGCTGATCATGCAGAAACGATGTGATCGTTGTCTTAAAACTCGAAGATGATCTCCAAATAAGTCTCTTTATTGCCACACCTTGGTATACATGCTCTATCCCCCTTCCTCGCTAAGTCTTCTTGTCCTTCATGTTCTAGCAGGGAAACTTGACCAAGGAACAGCTTTAAGGAGGTTGAACTAATTAGTTGATTAATAATTACTTTTAAAAACAGATACGGTTCTGTGTGTGTGTCTCACTGCCCTTGCCACACTCCTGACCTCCATTGATGGCTCGAATTGTAGCTCCAAATCCTTGGTTCTATGTGTGGCAATTCGAATTTTGCATCCAAAACCACACTGATGACCTCCACAAAAGGATGCCATTCTGAGCAACCTGGTCTAGATTTTGGAGGAGGTTCATGTTGAAAGCCTTTCCAGCAGCATCGTAATTGTAATTCCTGCATATATATACTCTTTAAATTTTGAATATAACATTTCCAGCTTACCAGGTGAGCTGCAAAGACCCTCTTCCGTAGTATGAGATTAATGGATAAATGCTATGTGAGTTTACTGTCGGGGAGTCTTGATGTTCAAAAGAGGGAACTGGCTGCCTAATTTGCAAATGTGAAGCAGGAAACTGGAAGTATCATACTGAGACAGTATTTTGCTTAGCTATTTTAAGTCGTTGTTTTAACGACAATCCCGCGCAGGTTAATTTATCACACTCCAGCTTCGAGAGTGGGATGGAACCGATGGTGGCAACAAAGCAAGTACTTAGAGTTTCCATTTAAAACGAACGAGAAGAAGGGTTTAGGTCTGACCTCTCTCCCTCACATGTCTCATGTGGTAATATCAGCAATGCCTTTTACATAACAAAATTGTTTAGATATCCATCATCTTACCCACTTTCTAAGTAGATGCTTTATTTCGTTAAAGTGGGACTTATTCAGTAAAGTGGGACATTAATTAGCATGTGTCCACATGCCATTTCCTAGTACTTAATTAATATTTATTAATATTTCTATCAGTTTTTTAATTTATTATTTTATATTTCACAATATTATAACACAAAATCATATGAAAAGTTTTTAATTTATAAATTATAAAGTTAAAACTTCAATTTTTTATTGTTGTTATAAAAATGGCATGTGGCCACACACCATAAGTGGGATAATGAAAAGTCCCACTTTAACGAAATAAAGCATGTAGACTGATAGGCAAGATATTATTATCGGCTTTATTATACATGACTTTTCAGCATTCTCCTCTAGTAATTCTTGCTACTGTAAAGATTGCTAGAAGCTAATCCAAGGTCTCTAATTTTGCTTTTGGGCCATATTATCTGCACTAGAATAAGCTAATATCATACTGAGACAGTATTTTGCTTAGCTATTTCAAGTCGTTTTAACGACAATCCCCCCAAAGGTTAATTTATCACACTGGATACCTCGATCAGCTTCAATAGTGGGATAGAACCGATGGTAGCAACAAAGCAAGTACTTAGAATTTCTGTTTAAAATGAACATGCAGTAATATCAGCAATGCTTTTTAGATACCAAATTTTTTTAGATATCCATCATCTTGCAACTTTACCCATTTTGTAAGTAGACTGATAGGCAAGATATTATTATCGGCTTTATTATAGACTTTTCAGCATTCTCCTCTAGTAATTCTTGCTACTGTAAAGATTAAAATCATCAACGACCAATTTCCAGATTTATTATTTGTTTTTATTCAGTAGTTAATTACTTATTCATTACTTTTAAAAACATTTGTTTAAGCACAGCCAAGGTTCCCACCTGGTGAAACACCCAACTGTGAGCAAAAGTCCTTGTAATAATTGATGCGGTTCTGTGCGGGTTGTGTCTCACTGCCCTTGCCACACTCCTGGCCTCCATTGATGGCTCGGATTGTAGCTCCAAATCCTTGGTTCTGTGTTATTGCGGTGTGGCAATTCGAATTTTGCATCCAAAACCACACTGATGACCTCCATGAAAGGACGCCATTCTGAGCAACCTGGTCTGGATTTTGGAGGAGGTTCATGTTGAAAGCCTTTCCAGCAGCATCGTAATTGTAATTCCTGTATATATACACTTTAAATATTGAATATAACATTTTCAGCTTACCAAGTGAGCTGCAAAGGTCCTCTTCCATAGTAAGCCTTTGTACCTGCAGGACATGGGATTCCACGACTAGTGTCACAATAGACGTTGTTTCGGTTGATCTCTCGAATGTATTGCAGGGCTTCGGTTGATCTCTCGAATGTATTGCAGGACTTTTCAGCATTCTCCTCTAGTAATTCTTGCTATTGTAAAGATTGCAATCATCAACAACCAGATTTATTATTTGTTTTTATTAATACATACTCAGTCGTTAATTACTTATTCATTACTTTTAAAAACATTTGATTAAGCACAGCCAAGGTTCCCACCTGGTGAAACACCCAACTGTGAGCAAAAGTCCTTGTAATAATTGATGCGGTTCTGTGCGGGTTGTGTCTCACTGCCCTTGCCACACTCCTGACCTCCATTGATGGCTCGAATTGTAGCTCCAAATCCTTGGTTCTGTGTTATTGCGGTGTGGCAATTCGAATTTTGCATCCAAAACCACACTGATGACCTCCATGAAAGGACGCCATTCTGAGCAACCTGGTCTGGATTTTGGAGGAGGTTCATGTTGAAAGCCTTTCCAGCAGCATCGTAATTGTAATTCCTGTATATATACACTTTAAATATTGAATATAACATTTTCAGCTTACCAGGTGAGCTGCAAAGGTCCTCTTCCATAGTAAGCCTTTGTACCTGCAGGACATGGGATCCCACGGCTAGTGTCACAATAGACGTTGTTTCGGTTGATCTCTCGAATGTATTGCAGTGCTACAATCAAAGACATTAGTGAAATTAATGGATAAATACTAAGCGAGTTTACTTCCAGTCTCCTGCTTCACATTTGCAAAGTAGGCAGCCAGTTCCCTCTTTTGAACATCAAGACTCCCCGAGCTTCCAAACGTGGGATAGTATTTTGTTGCCGCAATGAAATCATTGTATGTGTAGAAAGGATTCGCGATGTTGGATGGGAAGAACTTCCTAAACACAGACACAGTTATAATACTAGAGGGAGATGCCAGTGTAGAGAACGGAGAAAATCCTAGGAGGCATAGCATAAACATTATCATGACTAATGCCATGGTACTTAAATGGATAGTATGAGAACTCGTGGTTCTGCAATGGAATTTTGGGGCTGTTTTTATAGCATTGAGGAGTGAGATTGCGATTTATATTGACTTCATAGTCTTGAAGTGTCGTGTACATATTAACTTCTCCCCATTGGTCGAAGCACGCTAAGAGATCTCTTGTGTTGCTGTATGGTCCCGGCTAGTTCTCCATTCCCTTTCTTGCTTTTTTTCTTTTTTTTTTTTTTTTTTTCTTTTCCCTT